ATATATACATGCTTTACAAGGATGTATATACTTGCTTTACAAGCATGTTATCCCTGTTATTCCAGGGATAACCAGCCATTTCTATACCAATGGCTGGTTATCCCTGGGCAAAACAAGGGATTAGTGAAGAAAGATTAACTTATTATTCAGCCTTGTATTGCTTAAATTTTCACCCGAAAGTATTCAAAAATTAACTTGTGTATGTGTGTCTATTTATACTCATACACACGCACCCCTGTCAAACAAAAGCTATCTAGAGGAAGCACAGGGGAAAGCAAACAGGAAGGGCACAACCTGGCTCACTCTCCCCGCCTGACTCACGGCTTCCTGGGCTGTAACCCAGCAGGCCCAGGCTGGTGCTGGTGGGCTCCAGCTCCTGCGATTTCTCAGTCTGGAGGTGCTGTGCTTGCTTTCGAGAGGATGGACCTCCATGATGGGAGGCAATGCAGGAAAGAGCCCCTATATCCAGAATGCAGATCCTCCCCCAGCCCTCTTTAGCACTTTACCTTCATAAACTGTCATTTTAATAACGGCCTATCCCACAACTTCTATTTCCTTTTCCCTACAAACTTGAAGAGGTAGAGGTCTACCTGCATGCCATGTTCAAAGTTCCAAATACTTCACCTGTGCTGCAAAGACTGAGGTCAGAGAAAATGTTCGTGAGAACCTTTTCCTGCACATTGAGTACCAAACCACCATGACAACAGGCGTTTGGACAGTAAGCTGTGTGGAAACAGCTTGCTCACTGCTGGCCCAGCTGGCCAATTAGACAGTGAGTTCTGATGGTATGATGCTCACCAGTAGCCCCACAACAATTCGGGGTGCATTCCCAGCATTCAGAAAACCCCGTAAATGAAATCAGACCAGTGCTGAAGCCAATTGATACCCGGGAGCCAAGAGGAACAATTAAAGGAGTGAATGTTTTATTCTTTAGTGTTTAATAGAATACATAACAAGTCACATAATCAATGATTCATTACTGCACACGCAGGGAGGAAAACAGTATCGAGTCTTCCTCCTATACAACTGGTTGTGAGCCGTGAGAACAAAAATCTCTAGAGCATTCAGATGGTTGAAGAAATTCTCATTTAAAGTTTGGGCATGTCTAAAAAGACTTCATCAGCGCCTTTTTTAAAATATAGAGGGATTTTTTTTTCTTGGCTTTCTGCCTCATTAGAAAAGCCTGATAATTTTGTAATTAACTTTTTTTCCTTTCCCCTTCTATTTTGAGAAAAGGCCCAATGATATGAAAAGAGAACATTTCCAACTATCTCACAGTTCCAGAGAGCTCTGTGGGAATCTTACATTGTTTAGTGGCTGAGAGTTTCTCAGATGCCTGGAGATTTTTAAATAACACATAATTGACATCTTCAAAATTAACATCCACGATGACTGTTTTAACCTTTTGTCATTAAATGTCACTAATACTGTTTGTGTGGTCATAAATGAATTATCATCATTTGTATTCAATAGTAGTAGCAAAATTTGCCTGCCTATAAAGTCACAAAGACAGTTGTATAATAATTCACATTACAATTAATGTTCACATACGTCAAAATACATTTAAAATAAAAAAACTGGGTTGGGGGTAAAATCACAAAATGTACAAGGTGACAAGAATTCTTGGGTCAAACTAGTCCATTTTCCTACCATGAAAGATTATTCTCTAATGTAGACAGTATGGTTGAATTTCTTCCAAATTTCAAGGGCCCCAGTAGAAAATCTAAATCTGTAAATGTTAATACTTTTAGATTTTTATTATCCAAACTTGTGGCAAAGAATAGTTCACTTCAACATAAATTGATTCTGGCTCTAGGAAACCCGGTTTCAGGTGCTATAACGTCCCTGGAAACAAGAGACTATTTTACTTATTCCTCAAGAGACAGATTTGGTCAACGAAGAAAACTAATTCAGTTCTTAAATGGGTTATAGTAAAGGGGAAAAAAATCCCCCAAACCCAAAATTCCAAAGGATTTACTCTGGTAGGGTTATAATACAAACATTCATTTACTATTTTAAAAATTTAAGTCAATTGAGAAAAGCATTTATGATTTAGACTATAAAAGAAATCCTTCAGGAATTCAGGTCCTCCAGTCAGTACTTTCTAAATACCTGCACTATAATTTGGCATTTTTCATGTGGAATACAAAAACGTTTGAATATTAGATCAGAATTTACCATAATTTCAAAAGTAAGAAATTATCAAAGCTCCAGCTTACATGGCTTCAGTGTAGTAATAACATTCCATAGAAAATTCCAATAAAAACTGGACTGTGTGATGAGCACCCCCTGTTGCCCACGTCCTCTGAGAAGTTACAGATTTCCCATTTCCTCAGAGAAGCAACAGCCCCCGTATACATGTTTCTGGATCGAAAGAGAAGACAGATTTGGCTTATATTGTAAGTTATCACTTTGCCATCAATGTGGAAAGTCAAATAAGAAACACAAGAATAAAAACAGTACTGAGGAGAAAACACTTTAAAGTCTCACACCTCAAGGAGTATTTTCCACAACGTATAATTTGAATAGTTAGAATGAATACCATATTCTACACATATTAAAAGACAATGTGACAAATACTTGGCACAAAAGCATTAGACATGATACCTGTTTTTTTAACCACCACCATCAATAATCATTCTTTTTTAAAAAATAAAAAAATTCAATGTTATTAAAATCTAACATCAATCCATTGTATTTATGAACTAGATGGTAATTAGAGCCGTTACATATATAAATGCATGCCCCACTGAGTCCGGTTAATGCAGTCATATTTATCTGAATAATTTGTGACTTTCTCCCAAGTTACTTGAATGGTGTCTTCACAGAGTTTGTTCAAATATCCTCAATACCCCACCCAAGCTCCTAGGTGACAACCAACAAACACTCCAGCCCACCCTGTAGACCACCAAAGGTCCTTCTCTGGACCAAAGCACATGGAGGGGAAGGGCCCCACAAGTGCCCATGCCCAGTCACCTCTCGCTTCAGTTACTCTCTCTACCCAATGTACAATGAGTCTCCCACCCAGCCTCTACTTTGGGCTAAAAGTAAATTGTTTTCCAGTACCTACTTCCAAGTTTATAGGGGACAGTCATCCCTAGAAAAAGACATTGCTTTCCTGTCTCTAACCACTAAACTCCCAGTCTTCCAGATAATGAAAGGGGTCAGGGGAGCACTGCAGGACAGCAAAGATGGGGGGTGGGGATAAACTGTGTATGAAACAGTTCAACTCAAAGTTTGACAAGATGAAATTTATGACTGAAGTGGCAGAGACAAAACTTCAGCAGTTTCGCATTACTCCTGGAGTTGTGCCGATTTTACAAGGCAAATCAAAACCTCGGAGTCTTGCCATATGTTGGTGGCTTTGATCTGGCCCTCTAAGATGTTCTCAATTACATGACTTTTATTGAGCAATCTAACAGAGTACCAGGTGGGCGGAGAAGCCTCCGTGACACTCTCCTTTGGCCAGTGAGCACCATTCCTAAATCATTTTGGGCTTGAAACAGAGATGAGCTCTGATGCATTGCCTAGCCTGAGGGCACACTCAACACTAAAGCAAGCATGACTTCCTGGATTTCTACTTCCACTCAACACTAAAGCAAGCATGACTTCCTGGATTTCTACTTCCACTTCCCGTACGATTAGTCTTTGTCTATAAAACTAACTTTACTTTTCTAAAAATGCAATTACAATAAAAGAGCTCAAATCTTTCTCTAAAAGAAAAGTAGTGGATTAAACATACAGGTACCTTGATTTAAATAGGCAGTTAATCAACATATTATTAGTATACAACTAATATCCAAGCAAAAAAAAAGTATGGAGCAAACCCAGTTTTATAGTTTATGTATTTTTTCCTAATCCAATGTCCCCATAGATAAGGATGTAAGAAACTCATCAAAACATGTTGCTTTAGTATAAACACCATCTGATGCAAGTTACTGGGGGCAAATATAGGAAATTGCGCAGCATTAGTGAGTGAATTAAAAAACTAAATGATTCGTGTAAAAGGTTTATATATGGTATATACAGATTGGATCACATGGGTCTAAGAACAAAACTGTTCCAATTCTTAACATCTGTTGTGGACGTGGTAAGATATACAGTACAAGATTCATTTTTTAAAAAGAAGGAAAAATAGCGCTAATTTAAACACCGAAAACACATTCTTACAAAATCTTTAAAAACATACTCCAGAGAAAAATGCTGAAACAAATGAAAAAATATTCCGTCATCATAAGAGTATTCAAAGGAGCCTCACAGCATGAAAGATAAGGATTCACTTCCTGTCACTTACGGGATAGATACATATGTGGTGGGGATTTATTCCGAGTTACAGGAAAGGTGTAAGGCAACCAGGTCTCCTTCTGCTTCCATTGAACCAACCCAAACACCACTGTATTGCTCAACTCACTTTGAACTGCTCATGTTCATTTTGAAAGACTCCATTTCACGGCTCCCTACAGATGGACAGCCGTTGGTGCTCCTATTTCTCAGCAGCTCTGTCACTGAAAAAGATTCCATCCTAACTTCAAATAATCTGCATGAAAGAAGTGGCATTTTCTGGTTTTCAGATTTGCCCAGAAGTCAACATTGACTGGGCTTGGAGAAAATGAGGATTTTTTTTTTTTTAAACAAGCGATCTTAGGCGTAAGTAACCAAAATCAAACATATTTTGCTCAAGGAAATAAGAGTTTTAATTCAGGATTTATAATCAAGAAAATAAAGTTCAAAAACTAAAACCCTACTGGGCAGCTCTTTGGTTAGGTTATATAACCTAAGTTAGGACTCAAAACAGTTCAATAAACTGCCACTAAAGAGTAGATGCTATTAATCTTTATAAAACGCTTTTTTGTGTTTTTTGTGTGTACTATTTTTGTTAATGTGCACGTACTCAAAAGGATGGTACAAACTTCCAACTTTCAAATAATAAATGAGCAGGTCCGTTCCTCCCTTCCCACCCACTCTGCCTTCCTTCCTCCCTCCCACCCACCCACCCCCCAAGTCTTAAGAGCTAAATTCCTCCCGCTATTCACTGCAAGAATACTTGGGCTTTCCTAATCCCCACGACGTGCATCACTACCCAGCTCCAAGTCGTCCCTGCTGGCTGCCCTCCCCGAAAACCTCGGTGAGTTGGGCGGTCCGGCCCCTGTCAGCGGCAGGGCTTTTTCTCCCTTTCGCCTGCCAACTGCTGCCAAGTCAACCAGGCCAACCAAGGGCTTCTGGCAGTGAGCAGAGGAAAAGGGCGCCTCCTCAGGCCGGAGGTAACTTTCTACAAGTTTCAGCCACAGGTGAAGACCTTTATTTCTGCATAAAGTAGAAGATACGATCCTTCATTGTGCCAGCACTAGGTTCTTCTCCTACATTTACCTGTACCTTTTCCAAACTTTATTCATTTAGAGTCACTGAACTGCCTCCACGGGATCCCAATTCCAGGTGGAGTGTTCCATCCGGCCTTCTAAAACTCTTACTTCTCAAAGAGGGCCAAAATCGCTTTTCCCAGCGTTATCAGTTCCGATCTCTTTAATTTCGAATGAGTCCGAAGTGCTTGAGAAGATTTCAAGGAAATCTTCCACGCACTGGACAGGGTCCAATCAGGTTCTGAACAATTCAATCATTCCCAGGTACTTCGTGACTTGGCGCCACACTGCCCCACTAGCTCCAGACTGAAGGACAACTGGGGAGAGGGAGGGGGCAGAGGAAGCATGGGGTGTACGGGGTACACCCGGGCCCTCTTGGTTAGTGGGGTCCAAAGAAGACAAAAGAAAAAGCCGAAAGGACTCGCAGCTCCAAGTTCTCAAGTGGGGCCAAGGGGGGCCAGCGCAGCTATTGGAGGTGGGGGCAGGGGGAACGAGAGGGCATGGGGTGGGAGGGGAGGTCTATAATCCTCTCCTGGGCAAGAAGAAAGGGGAATGGGTGCGCTGGAGTCGCGAGGGGGTCTGGGGGCGCTCACTCCCTGCAGAAGACGTACTCGGTGTAGCTGGTCCAGATCTTGTCCTCGCTCTGGTCGGCGCTGGCGAAGGCGCAGGTGCCAGTGGAACTGCACGCCACCATGTGGAAGCCCGACTCGGACAGCTTGTCGAAAGCCTGCTCCAGGAAGTTGAACTTGAGGTAATAGCGCGAGGTGTAGCGCTCCGGAGGTCGGTCGGGGTCCCGGCTCTCGTTCAGGGTGTCCCCGAACACTTCCTTGGCCAGCGAGGTCTTGCCGCACACGGTGATGCGCGCCACTCGCCGGAACTTGGCGTCCGCCTGCGCGTCCCGCCCAATAGTGTAGGAGCCGCGGTAACCGATGGTGATGTAGCCGGAGCGTCGGCTCCCGTCCAACGACTGGGACGGCGTGAGCAGCGGACCCGCGGTGCCCCCGGACGGGCTGCGGCTCGCCAGCTCCAGCGTGGGCGACGGTGCTCCGGCGGAGGCGCCCTCCTGCTGCTCGGGCTCCGTGTAGCCGAGCGACAGCAGCTCGTCTCCCAGCGAGCCCTCCTTTTGCACCCCGCGCCTGGGGTGCGGCGGTGGCCCCGGGCCAGGCTGCTGGGGCTCCCCGAGGCGGCGCACGAGTTCGGGCAGCTCGAAGTACTCGGCCTCACGCTGCAGCCGGCTGCGCTCGGGGAAGTAGTCGGGCAGCACGAGCTGCAAGTCCCGCAGGTAATCCAGGATGTAACGAAAGAGGAAGCCGTCTCGGTCCAGAAAAAAGCGGCCTTTGCTGTCCCGGGCCAGCTCCTGCGGCTGCTGCTGCGTGAACATGCGCCAGAGCAGCGACTCGGGCACGGACACCACCGTGCAGCGCCGAGTCACATACACCTGCCCCCCTACGTTCAGCTCCACGATATCGGGGAAGAGCGGCGGCTCCGCGGAGGAGGACGAGGAGCCGCTGCCGCCCCCGCCACCCCCGTTGGGTAATCCACGGGTGCTGTCCGCCAGAGCCATGGTTACGGGGTGGCCGGGCTCGGGTAGCGACAGGGAGCCGGGCTGCACTCACGGGCTGCGGTCGCCTTTCCCGGACGCGACGCTCGCTCAGCCCTGCGACCCAGCCGCCGCCTCCAGGAGGCCCAGGAGCGGTGCGAGGGCGCCGCTGTGCTCCGAGAGGGTCCCGTTGCGCTCCGCCCGCCTCGCCCGCGCGCTCCAGGCGAGTGCCAGGTCGCGGCCCGCGCGCGGCTTAAGTAGAGCCGCCCCGCTAAGGCGCCGGGGCGCGCAGGAGGCGTGGGCGGCTGCCGAGCGGCGGAGCCTCGCTCCCAGGGCGGGAGGGGGACGGGGAAGCGGGGAATCGATTTGCATCTTAAAAGCTGAAGCCGCGCCCCGCCGCTGGCTCCACCCAGACCACGCGCTCCAAGGGCGACCCGACTACCCGTTTTTTACCCCCTCCTCGCCCTGCGCTCCAGCCCCTTCCTACTCCAGCCCAACTTTTTTTTTCTTCCACAGTGGGCAGAGCCTGGCACAGGGGCTTCAGAAGACGAAGAGTCTTTGGACAGACTGCCTCTACACCCTCTTTCCCTCCTAACCCCACCTGATCCCCGGGGGCTCTGAAAGAAGAAAGTACTTTCCGGGTTTACGCACCGGATGGTGGGTGGAGGGTGGTGAAAGTGGGAACTGGGTGCATTAAACACTGGAATTGAGGCACTACTCTAAACAGTTGTGTTGCTGAAAGTTCTAGAGAGAAACAAAACGTACAGAGAGATGATAGGGCCGCGCCAGCCCAGAGGCAGCCACATTTTATTTACATTGAAGAGTAGCCACCAAAAGCCTTTAGAAACAGAAAGCTGAAGTCGGTATCCTGCCGTAGTATGCTCTCCAATAGTTTACTTTATGAGTAAAGAGGCCATCTCAGCGGTTGCGAGACCTCAGAATTGGAGGAAATAAGCCGAAATGGCAATGGGGAACTTAAGCAAGATAAAGAAGTAGTCACTCCTTCGTGGTGGTTCCCCAGGGAAGCGGCCCGCGCGGCCTCATACCGCAGGCTGCGGGAGGATCGTGAGACCGTCTCCGGGTCCTCCACAGCCCTGGCTGAATCGCGCCATAAAACTCTCAGGGTTTGTAGGTCTAACATAATTTTTAAAACCCACCTTTCAGCCCCTGTGTGTTTATCCTCTCAAAGGTCGCGGCGCCCCCGGTATCCCGTGCGCCTGGGTCATTGATCCTGTTTAGTCCTTCCCAGGTTCTCTCTAGTTTCAGAACCTTACATCTGAAGTCCCTCTCCTAAATCGCGTCTGCTACCTCCTTATTCACATTCCTCCACATTCTACTACTTCCACATTTGCATTCACTTGTCACGTGGCAGCCTAGAGAACTCCCCCTCCCCCAGGAAGTCTTCCCTGGTTTATCAGGAGGGTGGGACCCTGGGATTGCTCCTTCCACAGGCCTGCCTAGTGCGCAACACACTATGAAATCTCTTATTCGCGACTGATTATCCGATCTCTGACTTTGGTAAATAAAATAAAGTATTCCTGAGTGCCGCAGAAAGTAAGCACAAAAGAGGGTAGTGAAAGATGTTAAGAAACCATCAGGTCAAGGAATATTTGTTGTGCATCTGCTAGTTCCCAGGTAGTGAAGAATGCAAGGCTCAGTAAGCTCCTAGGCAGCTTTCATTGTAACCTGGTGGGCAAAGGCTCAGAAGTCTGAGCAGTTTATCAGATCATTCGGCAGTTCAGAGCTTCAGTCAGGATAAACCAGGCCAGGCCTTTGTTCTTGATGATAATGTTTACCCTTTCGTGTACCTGCCCGATGGGCTTTAGTCTGCTCATGGATAAGTGTCATTTTTACTTAAATGTTTATGTCTGCAGAACAAGTATCTCATTCATGTCAATGTGCCAAAATAAGATCGAGCCCCAACCCAGCTCACATAATTGCAAGTACAGATTTTGATGCTGAAGATACTTGACCACTCATTTTTGTTTGCTCTTTGCCATAATAGATGGCACAAAAGTTCCGAGGTCCAACGCAGAATTTCTAGGTGGCGGTGCTACTATTTGTTATATCAGTGTCACAGGCTTGGCAAAACCAGTCTCTTTTCTATAAATCCAGGAAAAGCCTTCTTCATGTCAATTCTGCACGTATTTTTATAGCATTGGTTCGCTCGTTGTATCAGCAACTTGTGCCAGTTCTGCCTGCAGAATGGCTCCAAACCATGACCACGCTCCACCACCTCTCTGCCACCAGCCTGACCCAGCCTCCTATCCTCTCTTGCCTGGATTAGTGCATCAGTCTCCTGCTTCCACCTTTGCCTCCTACAGTGTTTCCCCCTTTTTAAATCACCAGAACAAAAAGAGGGGGCCTGTTGTAACCTAGGTCAGATCAGCTCACACTGCTCACTGCTCCTCCACGGCTTCCCAGCTGATAGCAGAGTAAAAACCAAAGTCCTGTCTGGGGCTACGGGACGGCGTGCTGGGAGCCCCACACTGGGACCTCTCAGACCCACCCCCCCTTTTTCCAGGAGCTCCCTAGTTTCAGCCACATTATCCCCCCCACTTTTCTCAGGGCCTTTGCACTTCCTGTCGCCTTTGCTAAAAGACTAATTTCCCCTTGCCCCTCTTTATCTTCCTCACCTTGTTCAGGTCTCCACAGCGAGACTCACTCTCCATCAATCAGCCTGTTTAATGTGGCACAACCCAGCTTCCCTTTCTCTGCTTTATTTATTGACTGTTTGTCCCTGCATTCAACTATAAACTCCAAGAATTCAGAGATGTGGGTCTTTTTGCTTCATTACCACAGTAGCCCCCCTTATCTATCATTTGGTTTTCCACGGTTTCAGTTTGAAAAATTACATGGAACATTCCAGAAATAAACAAATTCACAAGTTTTAGATTGCGAGCCATTCTGAGTGAGATGAAATCCGGAACCTTCCCACTCCATCCCACCCAGGCATGAATCATCCCTTTGTCCAGCCAGAATAGTCACTCGGCGGTCGCTCCCACCTGTTCACCACTCAGTAGCCAGTGCAGTCTCCGGGCTGCGGAGACACCTCAGTGCCGGTGTTCACGGAACCCGCACTTTAATTCATAATGGCCCCAAAGTGTAAGCCCAGCCGTGCGGGCAGTCTGGATATGCCAAAGAGAAATCATAAAGCGTTGTGTCTTTTCGTGCCAAGGTGAAATTCTCCATTCGATGAGGCATTTCATCAACTCACATCCTCAGAAGAAGGGTAAGTAGAGCGGAACAAGATGGTTTTGAGAGAGACTGCATTCACGTAACTTTTACTACAGTGTATTGTTGTAATTGTTCTATCTTATTGTTGGTTAGTGTTGCTAATCTCTTACTGTGCCTCATTTATAAATTAAACTTTACCGTGTGTACTAAAAAAAAAGCAACATATGAGTACGTCGAGTTTGGTTTCTGGCATCCGTTGGAGGTCTTGGAACAAACCCACCATGGGTAGCAGGGTAGGTGGGGGGACTACTGTACACCCCAGTGTCCAGACAGAACAGGCATATAATAGGCTTCTGGGAAATGTCTGCTGCTTACTCGTTCCTTCCACCAATATTTATTACAGGTCTATTACTTTGTCCCAGGCTTTGTGTTAAAAAATAATCTCTGCCTTCTGGGAGCTTAGAGACGTAGAGACAGATAATATGTAGATAAGTAAGTTCACTTTGGGTAGAGAGAGATGCAATGAAGCACATAAACTTGTGAATTGACATAGAGGGACTGAGTGTGGAGACACTGCTTTATACAGAGACTGGCTGGGAAGGCCTCTCCATGAACATGACACTGAGCAGCATAATGAGAAAGAGAGACCCATGGGAAGTTCTGGCGGAAGAGCACTCCCAGCAGAGAGCACAGCAGGTGAAGGGGGTCTGGGGTAGGAATGAGTTTGGCACGTCTTCCTCCGGAAGTTTATTTAGTGTATCATCTGCTGGTATCTGTGAATCTTCCAAGTACCCTTGAAGAGCTCGGCACAAGCTCAGCTGTAGCCACACTGAGTGCCTAGCCCCAAGCAGCCTACCACCTTCCCTCTCAGCCACTTGGCATAACAGCCGCCCACCATAAGCTCACCTACTGCAGGAAGGAAGCCATTGGTATTTCCTTGTAGAGGTCTAGGGTGGACGTAGGAAGCATAATAATGAGTGACATAGGTGATAGAGACCAAAGGAATAATTTTCTGGTTAATGGTGTATGTTCTATTTTTTGCCTACTGGTCAGTGTCATGAAATTCATGGGGAACTACAGTATATATCATTGGGAACTTTATGCTGGAATTTGAGTACCTGAGTGTTTGTTTAGGAGGACAAAAAAAAATGCCTTAGCTTCTTCAGTTTGTTAAATATGCTAATTATCAGAGGAGGGGGAGGCTTTGCGAAAGCACTAGCCCTGTGTCTAGTCTCAGTCAGTATCTAGTGATGGACCCGTTAGTGGTCACCTCTTTGTACTTTCTTAATAAGAGACAGGGCTTTGACTTTTATCCTGAAGCATGGGGTACTGCAAACACCTGGGGACCCACATTCTCCTCCGACTGGCTTCTCCTCCGCCACGTACCACCTTCTCTTCAGTCAGCTTCCCAGTTCAGCTCACTCCCAATGCACTCACTAAATTCTGTGCACACGGAAGATCTGACGAATGAATGAGGAGGATTCAGGGAAATATAACGTTAAAAGCGAGGAAGAACTAGGCTGAAGTGAAGTGAGCGCCTCCGAGGAGTGAATTAATTTCTGTAAAAACGATCTGTAGAGTGTAAAACACCATTCGAGCGTCAGAATCATGACTTCCCACCACCCACCTATCCTAACAAGTCCGCTCGATAAACACAGAATGAATAAGTGGATGGCGGAAGCACGCGGAGGAGAGCCGTGAGGAAGGGAGAAGGGACTGGCTCAGACATTGCCCCGAACACACATGCGGTTCGTTCACCTCCCTCCTGGTCTGTGCCACCCTGTTCTGTGGGCGGACTTTAGGAATCACCGACTTTGCATTCCGAAGGAGAAAAGGATCAGATACATAGAGATCAAGTAACATTAGTTTAAGTAAAGCATGGGATAAGATAATCTTAATAAAGGTTTGGGAAAAGGTATGGCAATCCTTAATCTTCAAAAAAGAGAGAGAAAACGTTATCCTAGTGACATTGCCAAAATATTAGGCAAAGAAAATCCCAATATTATTATATGGTTTTTATACTTAATAGAACCAGAAAAACAAAAGTTAGCAATGCTAGAAATTTTTTAATTGTTATTTTCATATTCACATAAAGAGGATTCAAAGCTTTTCGAGGAATCGA